AGCTGTGGGGAAAGGAATGCAAATGTTTTTGGATTTGAAGGAGATTCCCTGCCTTTGATTACAACTGGTGGGGAACTAACCTGCTGGAGAAGAAGGGGAGAACTGAATTAGTGGCAATCTCCTCTGGTCTAGGAGTAAATAAACAGATGGCAGCAATAAGTGGTGTTGAGTTCCCCTGTCCCAAAATTAAGTTCATGGAAAAAATGATGGTGAGAAGCACAGGCATTTGAAGACACAGTGAAGGTGACAGTGGGTGGAAGGTACACAGTGTTCGTTCCCCTTCACAGAACACTCAGTAGAAGCTCCCCATGCATGAAACCAAGTTTCAGTGGGGGAACTCCAGTATTATTAACTGAAGTTGCTGTCTGAGAGTAGTCATGAGACCACCTCCAGTGTGTGTCCTTGCCATGGAAGAGAGCTGTGAGGGGAAGAAATCACCAACCAGTAAATTTTTGGAAAGCCCATATTCCAATCAGCATTTTGAAAACTGATCTGTTCTTCAGGTGATCAGGGAGGAGGTTTTCTGAGGTCCTGCATTGGCTTTGTAAGGTGAACGTCAACCAAAAGGTCTCTCTTCTCCCATAGCTTGAACACTATCAAAGGGTTTGATTCCAGCTGCCATCCCACCAGCCCTCCAAGAGAAAAAAACCAGTGGTGTCCTGGGAGAGAAATACTCAATAGACATGGAATTAATTAGGAACTTTTTGGGAAGAACTCTTAGGGGTGACTGCAGGACAGAGACGGGTCAGGAAACTTGTCTGGGAGAAGCAGGTCCCTGTAGGGCCATCAGCACAGGAGAGCTGTGAGAGTCACCCCACACAAGGCCAACCCCAGGCTCCACTCGGGTCGTGGAGAGTGCACAGGGGAGATGAACACTCAAGGGGCTCCCTAGAAATTGGGTAAAAATGAAAGAATGAGCCTAAAGTGAGGGTGGCTAGTGGAGTGAAATGCAAGACCCTTATGGCACGAAGTGAAGCATCTAGAGACAGAAGTGGAGACAACCCTGTTTTGAGTAACATCTCTGTGACTTACACACTAGAGATGGGTTTCACTGGGACAGGAGGGAAATCTGGGGCTCAACCTGTTCTGAATTCATCCAGATTTAATACCAGAGTTTTATTCAGGATGTTGTGGTTTAACCCCAGATTGTGAGATCAATCCCACGCTTGTTCACATCTCCCCTGGTGGAATGGGGAGAGAATCAGAAAAATAAAAGTGAAAAAACTTGTGGGTTTAATAAACACAGATTAATAGGCCTAAAACAAAGCTGTGCAAGCAAAGCAAAGCAAGGAATCATTCACCATGCCACTTCCCACGGGCAGGCAGGGCTCTGTCATGTGTGGCAGTGACTTGGGAAGACAAAATGCCATCACTTTGAGTTTTCCTCCCTTCCTTCTTCTTCTCCAAGGTTTTATTGCAGAATATGACACCAGATGATCTGGAATATCCCTTGTGTCATTTGGGATCAGCTGTCCTCCTGTATCTCCTCCCAGCTCCTCCTGCACCCCCAGCCTCCTTGCTGGTGGGGTGGGGTGAGGAGCAAAAAAGGCCTCTAGTCTGTGTAAGAACATGTTTGACAATAACAAAAACACCCCTGAATTATGAACACTGTTTCCAGCACAAATCCAAACTACAGTTCCATACCAGCTACTCTGATGAAAAGTATCCAGCCCAGCCAAAACCAGAATCTGGGGTAAACTTGAGGGATGTAGAACAGATCATCCATGTGTGTAGTAGTAAGTTGAACAAGACCAGTTATAGTCACAGGATCACAGAATATGCTGAGCTGGAAGGGACCCACAAGGATCATCGAGTCCAACTCCCAGCCCTGCACAGAACCATCCCCAAGAGTCACACCCTGTGCCTGAGAGGATCATCCAAATGCTCCTTGAGCTCTGTCAGCCTCGGTGCTGTGCCCACTGCCCTGGGGAGCCTGTTCAGTGCCCAACCACCCTCTGGGGGAAGAACCTTTTTCTAATATTGAACCTAAACCTGCTCTGACACAACTCAGGTCATTCCTTCAGGTCCTGCCACTGGTCACCAGAGAGCAGAGATCAGTGTAGAAAACAGGTCTGATATTTTTAAAAGCAATCTACATATCACCCTAAATCTTATTTCTGGGATGGGATAATTCAGCCCCCATCACTGTGTTTGTGAAGTCATGAGTGTATGTATGTATTTTTAATGTATACATATTTATATATATATATATAAATGTATACATTATATATATGTATATTATATATATATATATAAAGTTTGCAATAGTGGAGGTGTTTATTTGTTGCCATTTTGTCATCCAATCACTCACTGTCAAGAGTTGCCTCTACAGTTTTTCACACTCAACTTTCAGTCTTGTCATCTTGGATGCTTTATTATCATCATCAAAACTGGTTGCTGTTTTAGCCATTCCCTTTTCCAAATCAGTTGGGAGTATGTGAGACTGCACGTGCTCACTTGTTGGAACACATTTCATCACTCTCTGAGCCTTGAGCCAAAACCACAGAGCAAATTACTGTTAATAACAACAAAGATCACAGGTATTGGTTTAAGAAGACATTTTATTTTTGTGTGAGAATAAAATAATAATATATATATTGCTTCACATCCTCCAAGAGCTGCATGAACCTGAAGTGATTGAACATCCAAACATCCCTGTGAGGTAGGCTGGAATAGGTGGCCAAGGTGGCAAAGTGGCTTGTGTATTAAAAGCAAAAAAGGGAGTGACTTCAGCAAGGAAAAACCTGGATCTCCACAAGCAGTGTGCTAACAGGACATGCCCTCTGGAAGCTGCTTTTAATGCTCATTTGCAGGAGGGTTTAGATAGAGGAGGAATCCATCAAAATCACCTCCTCAAGGCAGTGGAAATGTTGCTGGTACGAGGGCACTGATCCAGGCAAGCCTCCTCTTCTTACTCTGGCAAAATCCTGCAAGAATAAAAAGAGTCTTGTTATTTTGCTGAAGTGTAGCCTAAAGTTAATCTCTAAAGCCTCAATACCTGCTAATTACCTTTCAAAGTAAATGTACAGCCTGCAGCTTTAAAAACCTACATTTAGATGCCTCCATGGAAGGTCCCCATGTGTGCTGGGTGTCAGGGTCTGTGCACATCCAGTCCACAAGAACTGTGGTCACTGGCAAACTAATTGTACTGTCACTAGTAAGAACATTTTTATTCAACTCACTCCAAAATAAAGATTGGGGATTTGATGTGGTTATTGAACACACAAGTCTAGTGCCATTTGAAGAGTTGTGGGGTATCTGATTGGCCTCCAGACACCATTTCTGAAAATGAATATTTTCCCCATAGGTCACAAGTTACCTCGGCCAGACATGTAGATATGGTTTAAATACTCCAAGGCATCCCAAATGCCTCTAAACATCTCAATTTATACTGCTGAATCAAGCCCTTTGTGTCTAAATTCAAAGATTCCTTTTCAAGCAACCCAGTGAGTTGAATCCTGAGCTGGAAAAAATATTCTATTGTACTTCAGAATAACCTGTTGACTTCAACTTCTACTGTTGTACTGATCAACTCAGCTGAAAATCTAACAGTCCCTTTAAGAAGAGCTCTAATCCTGAACATTAACATCCAGTAGTGTCACATATGGGTATATTCTTCCAAGAAAGAGTGTTTCTGTAGAAAAAATTACACCTGAGCCAAACTCTTATTCCTTCCCCAGCCCTAATTTTCCTTTGATTAGGCCTAACAGATGCTTATAGAGAAATATGATGTTGGAGATCTGCTGTCTGCTCCTACCAGTCTATTTGCTATCAGTAGAAATTGCTACCTCAGGAGGATGAGCAGTCACAGAGGCTGTGGGTTCACATCATTCCTTTGTAAAATCATCTAATTACAGGTTACTTCTGTTACATTTATTTTCCTGATATCCTAAGTTCCTTAGCATCTTGATCTCATGATAAGAAATCTCCCATTATTGGAATGACTTGGGTTTCCTGAAACAACCAGCTGACAGAGGATCCCCATGTGCTGAATAAATGTTATAAAACCTCTTTCCTAGAGCCACCTCATCACACTTTCTTCAGTTTCTGGGAATCTTAAAGCCCTAGCAATTCTATAAATAACAGGATTGGGAATTCTGTAAAATTCAGAAAATATGGATCTGAGCTCTGCCTTTATTTTAAACCAAGGTCTGTCCAGTCACATCAATGGTTGAGGATCTGCCTGAACATCATTGCTGGGATAAATTATGTTGTCACATTTGTCTTCTTCATCAGAAGATACAGGAACCTCTCCCATTTTGGCACTGAATTTGTTGTGTGTGACAGTCACTGCAACTGGCAATGGTCATCTTGTGGCCATTAATGGAACAAAGCTATTGCAAGAATTAATGCCTGAGGAATATGTTTTATTCTAAGCTAAAGAATATTCCCCAAAAGCATGTTCAAAGCCTTAAGAAAATTAAAAACTGGCTATCAGGGAAACTCTAGACATTACTAAAAATTGGCCTCCAAAATCAAAAGTAAAATGCACACCCAAGTCTCTACTCACAAATTCACTCTTTACCTTTCTAAGAACTGAGCAGTGGTGGAAAGAAGGAGACATGGGAAAAGAATGAGAAGTAGAGTTCTGTGAATATATTTTCCCCTTTAAATTTAAATTTTCTAGGCAATTTTGGAAATTAAAAGAACATAAGGAGGAGAAAATGTTTCCTCTTTTGGGTGAAAATACTGTGAAATATTTTTCTAATAATTTCTTGAAAAAACTTACTTTTTTTCCCCCCCATCAAACTTAAAATAAAGTGAATTCTGGGAAAATTCTGACACACACCCCCAACCCTTTTTATTGTACATAACTTCCATCCAAATGAGTTGTCTCCTTAAACACACGTCGATATACACATGTTCACACTCCCTCTGGGCTTTCTCACAAAAGGGCTGCCCTGCAAGCCCCGGGGAGTTGTGCAGATTATTCAGAGAAACAGTGGATAAAAGAGCAGGACCAAACAATTCCCTGTGGTGCCCTTCAGACCCCGAGGCACTTACTTGGAGCAGCAGTTCAGCACCCCGTTGTGGCAGGTCCCTGAGGCAGTGAAGGTGGGTGGGCACTGCCCGGCACGGCAGAATTTTCCCTGGCCCCTGCACTCTGCAGTGTCAGGAAAAAGGGGATCTGCAGAACCTGTGAGAAGAGAAAAGTGTTAAAAACCTCAGTTTTCAGTCTAAAAGGATGAAGGATAAATGTTCATTAAATCATTAAATGCTCATTAAAACAGATGCTCTTGAGCCAACCCACTGCACCATCCTGATGGCATCAGATTTAGCCTGTCAGGTGATGGCTGCTTTCTCCCTCCTATGAATACACCTTTGCTTACAAACCCTTCTGTTGTTTATAGGATTTATTTTGCTTCTCACCTGAAGTAGCCTGGAAGATGAGGAGGAAAACAGCGAAGAGCAAGTAGAGGATCTTCATGGCTGCGGGTCACTTGTGGTCTGTGAGATCCTGCAAAGTGCCAATGGTGGATGGAGTTGGCTTGAGGAAAGGCTGGGAAAGACACCCTGTATTTATAGGGCCTGTGGGATTGTGCAAGTGTGACCCCTGAGTGCTTTGTCAATGAGTAACTGCAATGAACTTTATGGAAAGGGGCTGGTTATCCCCCTTATCACAGGTGGCAGTGAACATGTTGCAATCCCCCAAGGGTGAATTTCCACTTAATGCATCAGTTATATAATGTGACCATCAGCCAAGCCCCACTGAGCTGCACCAGTTTTCGTAGCTTTTGCAGGTGTCTTTCCAACACAGGCACAGGGATGGGTTAGGCAGGGAGCTTGGAAGTCAGGCACCATTGGAGTGGGGACCTGGCTTCGACCCTGGATTCGTCACCCACTGACAATTCATGTAACATTTTGTCTCTGTCTCTCCATCCCTATCACCAGGTGGATGATATCAAAGGCAGAAGAAAGCATTGGGAAAGACTTGATATGATGCAACTGTTCTTTGTCACTTTTTAAACAGTCTCACCCACTGCAGAAGGGTGACACAATGATCTCTCCTTCCCTCGATCCTCACTTATATCACAGAATCATAGAATCATAGAATAGCCCGAATTGGAAGGGACTTTAAAGACCATCCAGTTCCAACCCCCTGCCATGGGCAGAGACACCTTCCAGTAGACCAGGTTGCTCAGAGCCCCATCCAGCCTGGCATTCCATCCCACATCATTCCCCACTGCCCTACATTCAGCCTTGCGTCACAAATTCTGACCTCCTTGCACTCAGTTCCTGTTTGCCCAAATTAAAAACCTCAAGAGTTAGAGTTCTGACACTAATATGTCTCCTTCCTTTTAAAGAAAGTAAACTATTTCTTATATATGTACAAGTTTGTGATGCAATGCCGAATGTTTCCTCTCATATTGCCCCAAAAGGTTGGGAGGATGGGTTGATTCCATAAGAATCTTGGCTGACATAACTCCCCCAAGTGCAACATCTTCTGGGGCTTCAAGTCAGAGCACCATCCTCGTGGCTGTAAATTTTCTAAGAAGGGAATCCATGCAAAGAAGGTTCCTCTTCATGGAATCCTGGGCTTGTAGATGCCAAATGACCACAACATCTTTACACCTATTGGAATCTTCCCTTTGCCCAAACACCGTCACCCCCAACAACAGGTTAAACTCTGTCACAGCCCAGATGCCTCTGCAGTTCCTGCCTCTGACATTCTGGTTCGGTGGTTTGCTTCCTTATTGCCTCATTTATTATGCTGAACTCGGAGTTAATGGTATTTTTGTTATAAGAATTATTTGAAGGATGAAAACATTACCCATGTTTATGTTTAACCTCTGTGCTCTCGGGCAGGCTCGAGCAGCTGAGAGAGCAGCAACAAGGTGAGTTACTTAAGTGTTTATGCAGCAAACAACAGCAATATAAGTACTGATTTCCCTCTTCCACCCATAAAATCTAATTAACCAAGAAATGTCAAGTGTTGGGTTTTTTGTTCCTTTTTTTTTTGTACCCTTACTTGGAAATTGTCTTTTTTCTTTGCCAGCAGCTCTCCAGTTTTCCCCATTTCTAATGGAAAGGAGAGCTGATTTGTCACCTCTATCTTTCCTCTTTCAGTGACATGTCAGTGGGACCCTCTGAAGGAGAGACAGATACTTGATCAGCAACACCAGGAAACAAAACCCTTTTGTTTTAATCAAGACCCACTGAAATGTGAATTTCCCCAACCCGTCTTTCTCACAGACAGAAAACTGTTGTGATGTTTTGCAAATGGAAATGTGTTTTTTGAGCATTTGTCGCTCCTTGAAGAAGCCCATGTTAGTTGTTTTTCCCAAATCAAATCAGGGTGTGGCACTGGGGAAGGTGGTGACCACTCTTTGTTATCACGTGCAGTGATGCTTTCATGGCTGTACTGTGGAATGGAACAAATCCATTATCAGAGACAAATTGTTTTAATTTCACTGATGCAAATTGCCATAGCATTCAGATTTTACTGAACAGGCTCCTTTCTTGCAGAAGGAAAACATCCCTCTAGGAAATAAGGAAGAAGTTTTTTACAGTGAGGGTGGTGAAACACTGGCACAGGTTGCCCAGAGAACTTATGGCTTCCCCATCCCTGGAAGTGTCCAAGGCCAAGTTGGAAGGGGCTTGGAGCAACCTGGGCTAGTGGAAGGTGTCCCTGCCCATGGCAGGGGGTGGAATGAGATGATCTTTAAGGTCCCTTCCAACCCAAACCATTCCAGGATTCTATGATTCCATGATTCTATGAATGTGACCAACATTTCAAGCCCTGCTAGCACAGGCAACCAGAAATCATTCAGAGCAAAAGGAAAATTCCATGACTTTGACTTCTAGCAAGAACAAAGACAGGTGCAAACTGGTTGCTCAAAAACCAGGTGAAACTTGCACAAAAACCCCCCAGGAGCAGAGCAATTCATGCAGCACAGCAGTGACCTGGGGCTGGAACACAGCAGGGTGTGCGTGGAGCTGTGTCCCATGGTAGTCAGGGCCAGGATGGAGCCCTGGAAATCTCTGCTGAGCATTAACTCCCAGACATGAATTGGGAACTCCAGGAGCTGCAGGTACCTACCCAGTGATATCAAGCTGTCTAAGCAAAGGGGATCTGGGGAGACTTTGCAATTGAATTTTGCTTCTCACTCAGAAGCACAGCTTTTCAAAGGTGACATGTCAAGGAAAATCCAAAATATTGAGTGGGGCCAGCCCTTACAAGCAGCACTGTACCAGATTTCTCAGTCTTCTGCAAGGCAGATGTTTTTATCCTCTTTTTCCCTTCTTGATTGACAAACTACTCCCCATAATAGTTCATAACAACCTCCCTTCAGGTACTATAGGCTTCAGTGCTTCATTCTGAATAATCATCAATAAGTTAATGAACTGGGATAACATCATGTTCTTCAACTGTGCCTTTTGTCTAACACTTCCAAGACTTAAGCAAGCAAAATAAAAGAACAGACTGAAATCTTGCATTCAATTTGTCATCATCACCAAGGCAATTTTAACAAATTCACTTGGGTTTTCTGATTTTTGTTGCTGCCTAGTGTCCCTTTACAGTTTTCTCTATGGGAAATCAGTGTCAATCTCATTTACAGCTCTTACCTTTGCAATGTAGGGAATGGAATGTTTTTCTACCACAGCTGATTGCAGATACTTCGTGGGAAGAGATGTGCACTCATTGCACCTCTGCCTGGATAGCTACAGGTGAAGCTGGTATCCAACCTGCTTCTCCATAGCATTTTACACCACTTGGAACATAGGCATATCCCACATAGTGCAGGGAAGGAGCAGTTCAGGCCAATCAGTCTGCACATCTGTGTGTTGTCTGGACCACTGCCATGCCTATTTATTAACCTGCCATCCCATGAGGGATATTTGAGAGCTGGGGTTGTTCAACCTGGAGAAGAGAAGGCTCCAGGGAGACCTTGGAGCCCCTTCCAGTGCCTAAAGGGGTTCCAAGAGAGATGGAGAGGGACTTCAAAAAAGAGCCTGGAGTGATAAGACAAGGGGGAATGGCTTGAAACAGAAACAGATTAGATATTAGGAAGAAATTCTTGGCTGTGAGGGTGGTGAGGCCCTGGTACAGATTATCCAGAGAAGCTGTGGCTGCCCCATCCCTGGAAGTGTTCCAGGCCAGGTTGGACAGGGCTTGGAGCAACTTGGGCTAGTGGAAAGTGTCCCTGCCTGTGGCAGGGGTTTGGAATGACATGATCTTTAAGGTCCCTTCCAACTTAAACCCCTCTGTGATTCTATGATGCTGCTTCATCCATGGGGCTTTATTAGTGTAAATCCTCTAATAGATACATTTTGCTCTTGTGCAAGATGTTCTGAAATGTGACTTGTCAGTAAGGTAGTTTATGCCATTTTAAACGGGTTAAGTGCACAAGCCACATTTTAACCTCTGTTTTTCCATCAGTCCTAGCTGGGACAGCTACATTGGCCCCCTATTAAAGAAAGATCTTAAACCTTTTAGAGGAAGAGAAGTACAGCAGATCAGTTAATGAACCCTGATGTGTGAGACATTTCCTGGTGTCACTGAAGAGGCACAAGAGGAGGCCCCTGCCCATGTAAGGTTCAGGGATGCTGCAGTGCTGAGGTCTGGAGACCTGGTCAATTATTACCTACCCTTGGTTGCTTTGATCTCCATTTCATGTACCCTCACACTGCAATACAGACAGTGAGTCAACATTAAACAGACATTTAAATGACAGCCCTGGAAATCAGCATGGAGAAATGTACTGCCCTCTGCACCCCTAAGCTGTGGGAGAATTCCTCTGTGGGGGTGAGAAGGACTAATAAGCAGAGTTTAAGACGTAGGTGGGATGCAGGATGTTCTATATGTAATGAAGAAAAGACTAGTACTTCTCTGGTCCTGCATGATGAGTTTCCTGATCTGTCACACAGCCCTAATCCTGCTGGAGAGATGCTTTTCCTGGAAGGGGCTGAGGCTTCCGTGGGGGTGGTATCCTATGGAATAGAACAGGAGCCTTACATTTAAGAAATATGGTGCAGTTGATGACAAACCAAAACACCAGAAGTGTTTTCATAGACAGTGAGCAGTATCTAAATGCTTCCCTCTGTGCATCAGCTAAATGTCTACTACGGTGTATTGGGTAGGTTTCTGTTGATTTTGGCACAACCATCATAAAAAATACAATCAATGGAGCTCCACTGGCTCGTGTTAGGTAGGCAGTTGCTAGTGCTGCAGCCACAAGAATTGGATTCATCACTGGTAGGACTTGGTTTTGCCATTTGACTAAATGTATGCATTTAAAGCTGCATAGGCACATGGTTATTTGCGAAAGTATATATATATATATATATATATATATTTAAAATCAGTCAGGTCAGTGTGGCATTGACCTTCCCATGTATGTACATCCTCTCTATCCTACTGCTAGCAATTTTTCCTGTGCCATAAGTTATTTGGGGTCCAAATATCTATTTTCTGCACAAATCAGTGTCCTGATTAAAGTTGCACGAGGTTTCCTCACAGTCTCTGCTTGGGTGCCACTGTCACCTAAGAAAATCACAGTGATTA